ATCTAAATCCGAATAAATTTACGGATTTATATTAATGAAATTCTCGGATGCCGACTTTAGGGCATGACCAGGTCAGTTGTCTGTTTACACTTTGCAGATGTCATAAATTTCTTTAAAGAAAATGAGATAAATACCTTTTTAGATTGCATGAGTCTTATTTTTTACCATTTATTTTTAATTATACCATTTTAATCAAATACTATATTAGTTAAAATGATATTAATCAAGAATAAAATGTAAAAATCTAAACCGATACACTTCTAAAATTAAGTTTAGCAATTTTCTCTTTCCGTTCCCTTAGCAAACACCAAATGTGGTTAGATTGACCCTTAAACTGTGGGGGTCGAAGTCCTAATTACCCCACAAAGTGCTTCCCATCTTGACTTTGACCATGTCCATGATACTTCAAATATCTTATATATGAAAACACAAAGTTAATTCCTCTCCAAATCCTTCATGTTTTCCACAATTTGAAATTCTATCTAATCTGAACCGAAGATTCAAGAGGAATTGTCAAAAGGAGCAAGCTTTTTTTTTTTTTTTTTTTTTTTTTTTTTTTTTCAAAAATTCCACAAATGCTTCTCCTTTTCTTTCCTTTCTTTCGTGGAGTTTTGCTTTGCTTGACTTGCTCCAAGCCAAATAGTGCCTTATCGTGTTGACTATAGCAACATTTTCAACATTGTTTTATTCATTTCCTTCTTCTGTTGGGACCGTAAAGTAATCAACGACAATGGATTATGACGTTTCAATACTTCCCATTCAATTGGGGGGACCGTCAGTTTAATTATGTCACACAATTTTTATTAGAAAGAAAATTGTGTCACTCCCAAGCTTATTTATTTTTTTAATTCACCTTAATCCAAAATTTCATGAGGAAATGAATTACCAACTCAGATGTTGTAATTTTAGGTCCGTTCATTTCGCTGATTCGAGTTTAGAATTCGAGTTTTGCTACAGTAAAAAGTTCTCACAAACAGTTACATCTAATTTTTTTGCTACAGTAAAAAGCTCTCACATAAAATCACATATCAACTCGAATTAAAAACTCGAATCAACGAACTAAACGGGTCTATTCTCTGTGTCAAGCTCTGAAAATATTTTCTAATACAATATATAAACTGAATGCAAGCTATTATTCACCCGTTTCTTCTTTGGCACAAGGAAAAAAAAAAGAGGAGAATTTTTAGTTTTTTTTTTTCTCTTGCTATGTGTGTAAAGAGTCTAGAACATGCGTAACATCATTTATTGTTAGTATTATGAGCAGTGTTCACTTTGCTATTTGAACTTTTAATTTTAATAAATTACTTCTTAAACTTTGATTTTCTTGACAATTTTAGTTTCTAACACCACAATTGGTAAATGATTTTTAAAATTTCTTAGAGATAATGATGTTTCAACCACACAAGGTTTTACGAAAACAGTTATTTTTAAAAGCAAATTGTTCTAATTTTGAATGATTTTTTTTAACAATAATGTAAAGAACGTTTTGCATCTATTGTAATTATTTTTGCAAAAATTTTAGTCATCATGCGGCTAAGACGTGATTTTCTCTATAAAATTATAAAAAAAAATGTTTCTAATTAATTTTATTGTTAGGGATCAAAAAGATAAAAAACCAAAATTCAGGATTAATTTATTAAAATGAAATGTTTAAGATCCAAAATGACATGATACGTATAATTGGATTAACTGTAATAATAACCCTATTTTTTTTTAATCTTATCTATCTTATACATGCTATTTTACGGATATTTGACTCTGATTTTTATCCGTAAACTCTGGTGAGTGTTGAGTTTTAGCGAAGCTCAAGTACCAGTGTTAAAGAGCTTTTCACCTTCGGAAACAACTGTTAACTTCGCTGATTCGAGTTTAGAATTTGAGTTTTTTTACAGGACCTCGTTCATTTCGCTGATTCGAGTTTAAAATTCGAGTTTTGCTACAGTAAAAAGCTCTCACAAACAATCACATCTAACTTTTTTACTACAGTAAAAAGTTCACACATAAAATCACATCTCAACTCGAATTAAAAATTCGAATCAGCGAACTAAACGGGCCCGTATCTCATAAACAATCACATCTAATTTTTTTACTACAATAAAAAATTCTCATATAAAGTCACATCTTAACTCAAATTTTAAACTCAAATCAACAAAGTCAACGGAACCTTTGTAAGAAGTGTGGGCAAAGACCAAACCACCTTTTTTTTTTTTTGTTTTAAAATTAAAATTTTAAGAAAACAATTTATTGTTACCATTCCTACATGTGGACATCGCATACTGGAACACCACTCCACGTCTGGTGAGAGCATTGTATGTTTGTAAGAAATATTTAATGAGCAAATTGGAAAGACAAAAGGCAGAAGAAAACTGGGAAAGTTCCTCCGTAGTCCTCTCTCTCTCTCTCTCTCTCTCTCTCTAGACCTATATCTCTACATACGGCCAAAACCATCCCTATCTCTCAACTACATCGATTTTGAAACCAAAAAGGCAAATGGGTTTTTATTTTTATTTTTGTTTTATTTTTTTGCTGAGAAAAAAAGGGTTAAAAGATGTGGTGACAGACAGAATTTGCTCACCCTGTCTGGAAAGCCATATGGCTACCTGGCTCTCTCACATTACCCAGAGTGTACCGCCGGTATGAACCCCATCTTGGGCAAAAAAGAAATACCATATACTCTCCCTAACTATTAAAAATTAAAACTGGCATTTTTTTAATTGAAAACTTAAAATGGGCATTTTTAATGAATTTTTGTAACGCGAAAAAGGGTTTTTTTTATTTTTTATTTTGTTTTTATTTTTGTTCTTATAACTTCTATTGCTCCCATTAACATCGTGACTAAAAAAAAAAAAAAAAAACAGAGAGAGTAGGGGTATTGAAGTGTTCCATCATCAATTTTATAGTGGCTAGGAAGCTAGGTTACCTTTGGGTGGTGGTCTCACAAAGTGCAGAAGGTAGGTGTGAATGCTCTGGAAGACACATCTTCCATTCAATGGCAGGCCATGACATGATTTTACTATTTTACCCTCAAATAAATGGAGAAGTTCATGAGCACCCTTTTGGATGATCTACAAAGAGATTCCGCACATATTTCACTAAGATTAATTCAATTCAATTCAGTTTAAACAGTAATCATAGTTTAAACTTACGTTTAGTAATCATATAGTTTGAATTATATTTTCTATTTAAATTGAGTTAAATAGTTTAATTTAAAATTTAATTTTTCTCTCAAGTTTAACTGTTTAAACTATTTTTGAATAATAAAAGTAGTAACTCTCTCTCTTTTTCACACCTACTAAATACAAATTTAAATTTTATTTTTTGTTCAAATAAAAACTTTAACCATACATCTAAATGTCAATTTAAACTATTATTTAAACCATACAATTTAAATTTTTTTGTTAAAATAAAAAAAAAATTTAAATTAACAAAATTGCTAATCAAAGGAGTGCATATACTATAAATTTTTTTTTTGGGTAATGTGTTTCAGTTTAAATAGTAACCACAGTTTAGTAAGCATATAATTTGAATTATATTTTTTATTTAAATTAAATTAAATAGTTTAATTTAAAGTTTAATTTCTTCATCAAGTTCAACCGTTTAAACTATTTTTGAATAATAAAAGTAGTAACTCTCTCTCTTTTTCACACCTATTAAATACAAATTTAAATTTTATTTTTTGTTCAAATAAAAACTTTAACCATACATCCAAATGTCAATTTAAACTATTATTTAAACCATACAATTTAAATTTTTCTGTTAAAATAAAAAAAAAATTTAAATTAACAAAATTGCTAATCAAAGGAGTGCATATACTATAAATTTTTTTTTTGGGTAATGTGTTTTCCTTTTCTTTTAGGTTTTAGTTTATTTATCTGCTACAGCTTTGGAAAGCTAGTTGGGGCGGTGGTGAAGAAACAGATGAATGGAAAAAACAAAAAAGAAATCAGAAAAAGGAAAGAGTATCCTTGGATAGAATGGAATCAAAGGAAGGAAACCCCAAAAGAGGGGTATTACGGTAAATAGACATCAAATTGACCCTTGACCCTAACTATAATAATAATAATAATAATAATAATAGTGAATTGAAAAGAATCATTCATAAACACACCACCATTCCAAACTCCAAAGGTCACAAGCCTAAAAATAAGGTACTACCAATAACTGCAAAAACACATCAGAGTGAAAGAAAGGCAAAAAAATAAAAATAAAAAAAATAAAATTGCAGGCCTCCCCTGTTTATCTATTGTCCACCTCCTGCTTTTTATTTTATGTTTTATATTTTATATTTTATTTATTTATTTATACTTTCAACCTTCTCCCATCCTTCTTACTCTAAAAACTAATGTCTGTCTCTCTCTCTTCCTCTCTCTCTCTCCTCTCATCATCACAACAAAACACATCCAATTCCAAAGAGAGAAGAAACGTAGAAGTTCCACGCACCCCTTCCCATCCATCAAAAAACAAAGGAAGAGTCCACACCAAATACCAATTACCAAACTTCTCTCTCATTCTTTCTCTCTCTTCAATGGCCCAGCTGGACCAAAATTTATGTTTGAGAAGGGAAAAACAAAAAAGAAAGAAAGAAAGAAAGAAAAGAATGGGAAAGAGAAGAAAGATAGATAGATAGATAGATGTGTCTTCAAATGTCCTCCAACCAAACCCACCTCACAAAGACAAACTCACTCTCTCTCTTTCTTTCTCTCTCATAAAATAAAAATATGTTTGCCACAAATACCCTTCTGCAAAAAATCCCCATCTTCATCACTGTCTTCTCAAAACAACATTATTTTTCACCGAAGCTATGTGGGCTTTTTGGGTGTTTTCTCATTCTTTCTTGTTGTTGTTGTTGTCTCGGTCAGAGTTTCTCACAGAGAAAACAGGAAAGCAAGAAAGAAAGAACGAACCTTCTTTCTCTCTCCTTCTCTTTCTATTATTATTTCTTTCTTCTTGTCCCTCTTTCTTCTCTCCTCTCTCTCTCTCTCTTTTCTTTCTCCCTCTCTATCATTTTTCTCTCTCCTTCCTTCTCTGTGATCACTTCTTCTTTCTTCGATGAAGAAGATGAAAAAGGTTGTTTCTTTGGAGGCTTCTCCTTACGCTGTGTATGAGGATGCCCGGACCAGGCTTAAGCACCAAAGCCTTATGCAAGACTATGAAGAGCTGGACAAGGTAAATTTCTTTAATGGGTTTTCGTTAGATCTTAATTTTCTTTTGTTTATTCTTTGTTTCAGTCGTTAGATCTGATGTTTTGTTTTGGTTTTTATTTGGGTTTTGGAATGATCTCTAGTTTTCCTTGGTATTGGGTGTTCTGTGTGGTTGTTAAATCTGACAAAAATAGAAAGGAAGCTGATGATTTTGATTCAATGTTTGATTTGAGTTTAAGAGAAGATGAAATCTTGCCTCAAAACTTTTTAGAACTTGGGAAATTGTATTTTGTTTCATTGTTTGGTTTCTGATTTCCCCTTGTTTTATGTGTTTTAGTTTCGTTAATATGAACGAAATCTTAACTTGTTCTGAATTCTGTTTTTTTTTTTTCGTTTTTTGCCTTCTTGTTTTTCTTTTGCATCTAATATCTGTTTTATCTTCTTTGGTGATTATGGTCATGGTTTAATGAGCTTTTGCCTTGTTTTAGAACCCTGCTTTCAAACCCTTTATTGCTGCTTTTAGTCCTTTGTTTGTATTATTATTTTTGTTTCTTCTGTTGATCTGTGTTTTAGAGATGTTTAGGACTCTTGTTAAAATTTTTTGCATCATTTTGTTCTCCAGACTAGAAACGATAAATCCATATAGCGGACCCTAATTAATTTGGGATTAAAGCTTGTATTTGTTGTTGTTGTTGTTGTTTGTTCTTCCTGTTGATCTGTGTTTATGAATGTTTAAAATTCTTTTTAACCCTTTTTAGGGAATTAAAAGAGCTGTTTATTTTGATCTTTTTATGCTCAAGCTTTTGGTAATATTTCTCAAGAGGGTTCAATTTCCCGAAGTCTTGGCATTTTTTTATGTATTTCTCTTTAATGTTCAATATTAGTTTTGTTCTTTCACTATTTACTTGAGTTTGGCTTGTCAATTCTGAATTGATGTCTGTTAATATTTGTAATTTGTGATTGAAAGATTTTTCTAAATTTCCTTTAGCTGGTTAGAGCGGGAAGATTAGTGTATTCAACTAAAGCAAACTTCTCATTTACTTCCTTGTCAGGAAACCGATGCCATGAAGAACAGATTAAAGGTTATGGAACAGAAGAAGCTAACCCTTTTGGCCGAAGTCAGGTATAATCGATCGGAACCCCTGCAATATTTTCCTTGATTTGCAATCCAATTCCGACAAAAAAAAAATCTTAATATGGGTTATTTTTTTTCGGACTGCAGATTTTTGAAGCGAAGATACAAATACTTGACAGAGAAGCAGCCAATGAACCAACAAATGAAACGAGGCCATTCCCAAGAAAAGTCACAAAATTATGAAAACCGAAGTACTAGCATTGCGAAGAAGAAAACTCAGAGCAAAAAGGAATCTGCTTTTCGATACCCCGCAATTCCATTAGACTTGAACCAAAAGGAAAGGACTTACAATGGAATGGAAGCCCCATTGCAAAAGCCTCCCCCATTTTTGGACTTGAACCAGAAGGTGAGGACCCTCAATGGAAAGGAAGTTGTTCCATTGCAGAATTCCAGACCGATGTTCGACTTGAATCAGCAGGAAAGGATTCACAGTGGAAAAGAAGCTGCTAAGAGGAAAAACGCCCCATATTTTGACTTGAACCAAATTTCGGTAATATACTAATAACCATTCTATTTCCTTGCAATGAGCTTTTGATTCCATGCCAATTTTACTGTTGAGCTAACGCCTACGTTGGTTTCTCTCTTTATAGGGAGAAGAGGAAGAATTCCAAGCCAATAAGAGTGAGCCATTGAAAGGTTTGCTTAGAAATGCGAATACCGAAGAGCAGCACAATGATATGAAGTTACTAGTTTGTAGGAACATTGGCAATGGATCGAATCGGGCAGGGAAAAGAAAGATCACTTGGCAAGATCAGGTGGCTCTAAGGGTTTGATTTTTCTATCGAAAACAAGCTTATCATATGAATTTTGGTGGGGTTGGAAAGTTTGCCTTGCCTTATAACGCTACGTTTTTTGTTCACTATCATTCTTACCTTTTGTTCTTCACTCTTTTAAGACTTCCTCATCTTCTTCCTTCCTCTTTTGTAAAGTTGAAAGATAGTTTATATATAGTGAATGACTGTATAGATGAAGTGGTGGAATTGATGCTAAGGAATTATTGTGTTTGGAGTTGTTTTTGTTTTTGTTTTTTACGTTTTTTGAGAAAAAAAAAATAAAAATGAGAGAGAAACGACATTTGATATAATTAAAGATAAATGAAAATGAAAGTGATTTTTTGGTTTAGTATAAAATAAGAGAGAAATGAAAAATAATTTTTAATTTTTAATTTTTTGTTTCTACTTTCTAATAGAGAGAGATATTAATAAATATTTTTATATTGAAAATAATTTCTTAATAAAATTATAAATGTATTTTTAAAAATAATTTTTATTTGAGAATGAAAACGTTTTTATTTTTATATAAAAAATAAAAATTATTTTAAAATGAGTTTTAAATGCACTAAAAGATTTTTAGTTTTTGTTTTAGTTTGTTTCGTACAAGTTTTCCGCTGAAATAAATCTTGAGAGGAGTTTTTTGGAATCTTGCAATGCTTGCACGTTTGGTTTTGCTTATGAGACATTTCATAATGTTGCTTTGTTTTCCTTTTTTTAACTTAAAGGGATTTAACATACTGCCGGCCTAGATGATTCCAATGAGGCAATAGAGTCGGAAAGTTTTCAAACTTTTTTCAAGTGGTTATTTAATTTACTAGCGAAAAAGTGGTGATTTAATTCCTTCAGCCAATATATATATATATATTCTTAATTGAGAAAATCTTTTTTTTTTTTTTTAGGTGAATTAGCTTCTCAGTCTTGATATAGTATCAAACCATTAGCTTGTAAGATAATTCAGAAAAATTATTATCTTGTAAAATAATGTAGAAAAATTGCTCTATTAGCATTCTGCGTTTTGGTTCATTCAAGTCCTCCAGGTTTCTACTCTAGTTTGACCATTCTATGCTACAATGACAAGTACGTCAACGGTACGCCCTTTCCCTTTCGAGGATTTTTTTTAAAGATGTTTTTAATAACGTACAAAAAAAAAAAAAAAAAGATTATCGGTAGGTTTTTGCTTTTAACGGTGTTGGTCGATTCTTTTAGTTTTACTAATTTTAGGTGATTTTGATATAATATAAAATAAGATTGACAATTCGGATAGTGACACGACGCAATTTGAAACCTGTACGAAATAAGCGAGTCTAAGTTTATTATAAATATGTTTGGGTCATCATCGCGTTGACATAATTAACACGATTAATAAATAAGTTAGGTTATGGTTGACTTCCTAACACGAAGTGACACGATTAACTATGTGTAATCTGTAATCTAATGATATGTGATATAACAAGAAAGTTTATGACATATTAAATACAAATAATGTGAATTTTAATATTCGTAGGTAAAATTCATTTATTTTTCTCAAAAAGAGATAAATTGACCAATAAACATGTTAAATCTGTCTTGACCGTATAAAATAAGTCATTATTATATTATTTATTTATTCAATATATTAATTTAAACGGGTTATACGGGTTGACACGATTAACACGACTAATAAATGGATCGTGTTTGAGTTGACATTTCTGACACGTTTAATAAACATATCGTGTTTAGATTGATATTTTCTGACACAATTAATAAACGAGTTGATACGAACACGATCCATTAACACGAATTGCCACTTTTAATATAAACACTAAAACACTAGAGTGTATGGATCTCAATTTTTATCCCTTACTTTTAATTAATACCATTTAGATTAACATTGTTATTTGACTAAAAATGATTTTAATCAAGAATAAAAGTTAAAAATTTAAACTCATATCCTTTAAAAAGTATTTGTCTCATTTCTCATATCTAGAAAGACCTTTTTTTTTTCCTTCTTCAGATAAAACTAGTCATATTCTTCGTATGTTGCAGCAGGAAGTACTGTTAAATTATGCAAAATTTTAGAAATTTTTATAATATATATATTTATATACAGATATATCTATACATTAAAATTGATAATAAATATTGAAGTCATTTTATTGATATATATATTAAGGATGTTAATACTTGTAACTAACAAAGTTATTAAATTACATATTATTATATATATTTAAAGAAGAACACGTTTTTCACTATTCATCAAGAGATAAATTACTGTTTTTTTTACGGCGATTTTTTTGTCCCTTTTTTGTCTATGATTTTCCTTCTTCAGTATGTTTCAGTATGTGGTTTTTTGGTCTTTTTAGTTGCCTATTATGTGGCTTCACTTTTCATTGTTTTTGTACAGTAATTTCTATGTCTTTTTTGCCGTGCTCTTCCTTTTTCGGTTTGGCTTCTGTGTGTGGTTTTTAGGGTTTTCTTTTGCTTCTCTTTTCCTGGGCTTTGGGTCTTCGGTGATTTTCTCTTCGGCCGATGATTTTGCTTTGGCTGCTTCTTCCATTTTTTTTTCTATTGAAACTTTGCTGGCATTTTTTGCTTCTTTCTTCTCTCTTATTCGTTGCTTTATGTTGACGGTGGTTTTCTGTCAACTGAAAATTAACTCTCTGAAAATACTCACAATAACCTCTCACCGATTAATTAAGGGTTAATGTTGCAAAATAATATAGAGAATACAAGAATTTATAGTGGTTCGGCAAGATTTCTTAGCCTAGTCCACCTGTAAATACACTAATACTTTGTTGATTACAATTTCTCTGGAGTAGTAGAGTAGTGTGCAAAAAACTTAATGAATTCTCATAGCTCTATTTATAGGCCTTGTACACATGAGAGACCTCCTCTGTATTTTCTGAGGAGATCATGCTCTATCCCTTAATTATGGGATTTGGCAGTTGTATTTTCATGATTACTACTTCCAGGTCAAGCTAACCACCCTTACCGGCTACTTGATTTCCTGACTTTGACAATAGTAGTTGGTACAGTGCATCTTCCCTGAGTTGACAGGACTATCTTTGGATTGGACCGGGCTGCTACCTCGATGTCGTGGCCTTTACCACCTCATCGGGGCTCTCGACGCACGTCATCCCGCATGAACTCTCGACATATAAAGGGCACCTTAGGTACAGTTGATCCCTCGACTCCAGCGACCGGTTCCCGACATGGAGGCCTCGGCGCTTGTCGTCCAAAGGGGTGGCAATTTCTCGACCGTGGTGTAACAATTACCCCCTACACTGGGATATCACATTGTGATGTTCCAGGCTATACAATGTCGAGAGTTTCACGTGGCATCTTCCCTTCTACAGACTATGGCGGCTGCTCGTAGGTATAGTGCCATCATTACAGTGAGTTTCTCGGGCAGTGGAGCAGTCTCGTCGATCGTGTCAACGGTCACGTCCCTTATACCCTGGTGACATGTGATAGTCGAGGGGGCTGTTGCAGCCATCCGATCAGATTTATTTCTCCCGCTCTTCTCCCAGCCGTTAGATCACGTCTCTTCAGATTCACCGTTGGATGAGGTCGGTTTGAATTCGACGGTCGAGATTTGGGGTCGTTTGGATTTCTCTGAGGTTCCTGGGCTTCTCCCTCGGGTATATATATGCCCCTTGACATAGTTCTTCGGTTCTCCATTTTTTCAGAACTCCGTTACTCTGCCGGATTTCCCCCAGGAGTTACCACTTCCTACTTCAACCTTCGCGTGCATTTTCCGTTCGTGGTTCCCCGACTCCCCAGTCTTCAGACCGCCTCTAGGACTAGTAAGTGGCTTCGTTCCTTTCATTTTTTCTGTGCGATTCTAGGACCAATTCCTGTGAAGAAAAAAGCAATATGTTAAAAGGAAAAAATGCACTTACTTGGTTACGAAACTGGGGCCGTGCCTGGGTGTCATTGTTCACTTGGGCTCAATTTCTCTTTCTGGGTGTCCTCAGGCTCGTTTCTAGGTTATTGGGACCCTGGCATGAGTTTCCTTGTCTTTGCACTGAGTTCCAGACTCTGATCCGAACATGCTCCCATTTATTCTTAAATCTTGTTTCTGGCCTCTCAACCACTAGGTACTAACTCGACCCAAACTATGTTTACTTCCAGAGCATGCCGCCCAAACGGGTTAGAGATCGAGAGGTCTCCACTTTAAGGGTTAGGAATGACCCTGAAGATGTTGCATCGATGAGTACATCTTCAGGCGAAAGTAGGGTGATGCAAATTATTTTTGTATAATAAATTTCTGCAAGCGTACGGTGTCAAGTTTTGAGTATAAGGTGAGTGAGTATCGTTTCCACAGGGATTGGGTTTAGAATTGCCATTAAGTACCGCAATTATTGTAACTTAACTTTATCTAGGCAACCTAATAAAATGACAATTAAGAAAATAAAACAAAATAAATATGAAAATAAGAAAATAAAGTATCTATACACAAATGATCTAGAGACTTGATTTCGCTTTATTATTCCTATGTTCATCCTATTATGTAATCGCTAATCAATTTCATTCAATTCATTAATCAAGGCTCTAATGTCATCTCGCAACCTCTCCCGAGTGCCTCACAAGAAATTGTATTTAAATACCCAAAATAATATCCATATTCGAAATGAACATTTAAACACAAATTAAGCTTCACCTTTAGAATTAGAAAATAGGAATATTGATCGCCTCCTAGCCTCACAACGACCTAAATCCTAATTTGATTATCTAAGCGTTGATCTCCTCCTGGTCTCACAACAACCTAGACTATGCTTCTCAAATCTAGATAAAGAATTCAATCTCTCTCGAGCATCAAATTCGCAATCTAAAAATCATCTAACTCATTGGCCAAATAAATTAAAAGCATTAAGCATAGAAAAACATAAATGAATTGAAAACGAAATTAAATTAACAATCAACAAAATATTCAAAACATAGTTCAAATAAAACTACATCAAGTCCTAGATTTAATGTCTAGCTCAACATGGAAAAATAGATGAAAGAAGATAAAACCCAATATCCATTGAAGAGCTTCCAAGGACCTCCAAGATGAAGGATTTCGGCCTCCTTTTGATGTTTTCTTCACTTTTCCGGGCTCCCCTTCCAAATGGCATATCTTTCCTTTTATACTACAACATTTCGGAGCTAGGGATTCAGTCGCGCGCTGCAGCCCGTGTGAAAACGTGCTGTGGCGCGCATTTTTGGAAGAGGGATTTTGCTCGAAGGGGGCTGAGACGCGTTGCAGC